GTGTTTTGTTTTGTTTAGATAAACAGTTGCTAAAAGTATACATCAGCTGTTAATCAATTCTTCAACTACATTATATGCAACTACTGCAAAATAGTATGTTAATTTTCATACTTTTCAAATATATTAATTATTTTGTGAATATGGCCGACTGTCCTAAATAACTACAAAAGAATGCATTAGTAGTTTCAATGTATACTGCCCTCTATAGTTGGAATCAAGTGAGGCTGTTTACCAATAAAAAAAGTTCCAACCTTTTTGGCAAGTTGCCAAAATGCTACTACAACCAGTTAATGGAGGTCACAAACGTTTTTTAAGTCATTTGCAGTTTGGTTGAACTAATAATATTAAATTTTAGAATGGAAGGTGGACCTTGCAACAGAGCTTGAGTCAACACTATGATAGTTTATGGATTGAGGTTTGAATTAAAATATAATTAAGTTTTAAATGCTCAAACTTTCTCTGGAAATTAGGGCACTCTGTGAAGACTGGTGTGGAAACTTGTCAATGAGTAAAACCAACTCTTGTCACAAAGCATTTTTTGGGCCATGAATCTTCCAATAAAAAAACAGTAGCGGATTTAATAATTAAATTTCAATTTTGGTAAAGTATGCTTATGTTTGGAGTGTACAGCATAATTCATTAATATGTTCAGACAATTGACAATTAAACATAATTTACTCATGCATATATTACTAGTATGATCTGCAGAAATTATTTTTTTTTTCTCTAAAATTAAAAGGTAAAATGATGTTAGCTCACAGGCATATATACAAGACAAATTATGTTTGCATCAAGCTGCCATCTATTTTTTACAGAAGTCCCATATAACATGGCAGTAATCCTGTGTCACATTTCACGTATTAAGTACATGTTGTGAAAAAATAAAAAATTCTATTGTTGTTGCGGCAGGTAGCGGGTCCTACTATTCTTCGTAAGGCCGCTGATTAAAGGGGCAACTCCAGCTAAGCCTATTATATCTCTCCCCTGATTAAAATCACAATGGAAAGTGCAGATTAATAATATAAACGCCATATTTGTATCCCATAATTCCTTGGCTCTATCCCAGCGCTTGATAACTTTAATGTGTCATTGCCATATTTGCACTATTCATAACACTGTGATTACTTGTATGAAAATCTCAGTAATTAAAAAAAGTCATATTTCAATGATCTAACAAATGCCTATTGGAGATACTGTGGAATACTTTATTTTCACTGGATTTAATTTTCGCTGAAAAGGCTTTTTGGGCGTTTTGTATGGAATTTATTTTCACTGATTTTTGATGAGTTTAATGTGAAATATAGGAAAAAAAAGTATATTCGCTGGATTTTATTTTCACGGAATCATCCCTTCAGCGAAAATTAATTCCAAGCGAAAATAAAGTATTCTACAGTACACTTATAATTCAGCAAATATGGTACAAGTATATGAACTTATTTTACAAATTTGTTTCTGCAATTTTATTTAAAAGGAGAATCGTATTCAAACCTATGTGGATAACACCATTGTACCACATCTGATTTAACAAACCATTTTTCTTAAATTAAAGAATTATAATTTAATTATTATTTAACGCTCATGCTATGTGCTGTACTATTATATGATAATCAATAATTGCAAACTGGGAAAAATAAAAATATATTTTGAGTTACTGGCTTGACTGTCTTGGAGAAGGCTAATTTGTTGAGATGAAGAAAAAGCAGGGATTTGCTAATGGAGCTTAAGAGATCAAAATATCTCGTATTCAACATTTCGTTTCTTTTAACAGTTATATGCAGCTGGACTGTCTTAAAACTTTGTATTAATTGTAACTCATTTTCCACCCACTGATCTGCTCAGATAAATACCATCTGTTTGATTGAAAAATTGTTATCCCTGTATTAAATTCACCTTCCCACGTTGTATTATATGTTCCACTCCTCCAACATGAAAAATGATAAAATCAGTTTTAGCAATAAATCTGCAAATGTTGAAGCTAGCTAGTACTTGATAGAAACAAAGTCAAGATGTCTACCGGGGGTAATGTCCAACTGAATTTAATTGTCATTGTTGTATTCACTCAAGGCAACTTTACTTTATTTTAGGAGTACCCTTAAATTTCAGGATTCTGTTAAATAAGATTTCTATAAAATTAATAAAATCCCAAGCCATTATGATGCTTATAGGATGCAGTGGGAGGATTTCTACAGATCATGCAAAGTTAGAATGCAAAAGTTTAATTAGTTTGTGCCAACCTTTCTTAGTGCCAGAGGTACATGTAATGGCAAGTTGTTTAGTGACATAATGTCATCATCTGATTGTATTTTCCATTTCATTGCGTATATTATAATTGAGTGCAAATATAGTGTCTTGGAATAATTAACATTTTTTATGGAATACTATATTTCCAATATAATTGATCAAGTTGTCAAAGATGCACGTACAATGTACAATAATTCTCTGATCTGAAATCTGAGATGCAGTTTTCTGATTTCAGAAAGTCAATATTACAATACCGGTAGTTGAAATTCAATACATGCATCATCTTTCTCTCATTCTTCTTGCTTTTACCATTGATGGTGTGCCCATGGTAACCAAGTCTATATATAACGGTCACTTTTGAAATTCTTCAATTTTGCCCTGATTTCTGTTTTGTATACCTACATGCATTTATCATCAAGAAATATTTGTTAACAAAATATAATAGTACACTGAAATGCATAGATTGGCTACCCTGAGTTTAATATTCACAAAGTGACCTTCTTTCTAATGACATGCTTTTAGTCAGGATTGTATTGTAAGGTTTGTCATATACGTGATTATGGGAAAGTTAAGGAACTAAGTGATCCCGGCATATAATATGTGTATGTGTCATACAACACCAATATGTTTATAAAAATATCAATGATTCATGTATTTATATAAATATAATAATAATAATAATTAATAGTTGTTATTGAAGCCGTATTCTAAAAATAGACATAGATCAAAGTACAATAATGCATGGTTGTCATTCCATGTTAAAAACAATCAGAATAAAACACAAGAAGAAAATAACAAAAACTATAAATATATATGTCTATACATAGCACACACAACTAACTTACACAAACAATCTACATTCATATAAAATATTATTTACAATAAATATTGAAAATAAATGATAAATGAATGATTTTATGAGCTGTGGTTCAAAGATTTTGTGTTTGTAGTTCATGGTTAGAAAGATTGTATGAAAGTCCATTATTTGGATACATGCAATGCAGGATTGTAATTGGGGTCATACCATGGGTTTGTAACAGCTGTTTTTTTAAAGCCTTGAAATGCACATAATTGATTCTCAGCAATAATACATGGTAGATCTTGTCTATTTGTACTGTACAGTGTAGGCGCATTAATCTGTCTGTCTGTCTGTCTGTCCTTTTGTTTCTGAGCAATTCAGCGTTTATGACAGTACAGAGATAAAATCAGAAAAAATCAGTTATATATCATTAAATATTTTTTGCTTTAGTATGCATAATTGAGATCTCATTTGCATAATTATTCTATTTTCTTTATTGTAGAGGGAAAATGGACCAGCGGTGATAGTTGAAGTGAGTCCATCAGTACCATTAACAGATCTACATCATGATGAAAGCATTCCAGACTACGGGCACGTTGCTCATGAAGTTGAAATATCGGCGGAAGATGAAAAACCAACATATACCTTCAGAAACAAATTAAAACTACAAAAGTTTGGTAAGATTGAGCTTTTGTTCATACTCTTATGTTTATTTACAAATGCTGTGAATCAGTGAGGACACCATGAAAACACTAATGATACGTAAAAGTGTATGAACAGAACCATAATTAGATTTATCTCAACTGTCAAAAGTTGATTTTCAGGGCTATCGTGGGCTTCAGGTGCCTGCATGAATCCTAGTTGTTGTGTGTTTTTCTTGTGGTCGATGAATGTAAATGTAGCTAGTGTCTATGGTTGCTGAGATTTGTTTACAGCTGTGTAATCTACTACATTAGATATGATCAAATTGCACACACATACAATCTATATAATCAGTACATTTTCATAAATTTATTTCTATCGTATCAGTTGTGTTCAACAGGGTTAGCTTCGGCTGCTAAGATATGTGGTGGCCATTCTGACAGTCAGTGTATCAAAATAAAACTTGTCTGATGTTTATGTGAAATTTATTTCCGGCTGCATCTGAAAGAGATATGAACTGATACTAACCAATACATATTTATGAATTATTATGGCATCTCAAATTCAGCTACCTGCATATATAGCTGCTCAGTATGGCACATTGAAAAATAGCTATAAATAGAACAACTTGAACCTTGAACCTTGAACCTTGGTCTGTTTTATGATATGCTTGAAGGTTTATTGTAGAAACTATATATGAAACAAAGTATACATGTACAAACAATACATGATATGTTGTTTCAGTAAATCCATTCCCTTCGTCTAAGTTCTATTTAATTCTGTGTATATTAATGAGTGCAAGACAGTCCACTAAAAATAACTGTACACAATTCAAAACAGTGACTAGACTTCCACTTAGCAGGGGTTGAATTTCCAGCCAGTCCAGGACTTTGTGAAACATAAAATTCACTAATCCTGAAAAAAAAGTCACTGGTCATGAACAATTACAGGGAATAACATTATTTTAATCAATTATGGTTTTATTTATTTCCAGTACAAACATTAATTACGAACAATGGAGAACACTATACCGATGCAAATGCGATTGATTTTTGGAGGCAATTTGCCAAATTTCTAAAAAAGAATATGTTAGTATTTCTTAACGGCTATTGATGACAATATCCATGGTTCAAAACAAAATTTTGAATCAAAAATAATGAAATTTAGTGGTCTGAGAGCTCTGCTAAGAGTAGAAATTGTTTATCCACACTGGTTAACACTACATTGAAATATGTTACTATTACATGCACTTATTAAACAATGTTTTTTTGTGGGTGATTACCATCATCTCAGAATATAACTCAATAATTTGTAATTAATCTTATATCAAACTAATTAACCATTGTTGTACAGACATGTGTAAACATGTACCAGAATAATTTGTCTGAACTTGCAGGGTCAAACTAATTAGGTTTAGAGAGGGGGGGGGGGGGGCTCAGTAAATTTCTAATATACCCTGGTAGTTTACTTATAAGTGGCCTCTGGGCAATGACATATAAAGATTATTAATATTATGATCTATGTTATGTACATACCGCATGTAAATGGGGGGGGGGGGGGGGCGCACAAAAATGAATATTTACATATTGATAGGCGCTAGTTATTAGAGATCTGCTGAAACTAGTTGTGCATTTATAGGCAAGCCTGTAAACTCAAATAATTGATATAAATGTTTGTGTTTTTAATTGCATATAGCATGTTAGTGCACTTAATATAGTAAATATAGTAAGGGAGTGCAAAAACAGACAACAAAAGAATGATTAATTAACAGTACTCAACTATAAAGCAACTGACAAGCACACTTAAAACATCGAATTTGTTCAAAAAAAAATTTCATAAGAATCCTAGCACAATATTTTTTATGACTTTTATTTATTCTGCCAAACCATGGTGGATCTTTACAGCCAGACAAAGTAATGTTTATTGTGGTGAGTCCACAGACTGGATTCATTCTGGTGTTCTTCTGACACTTTCAGGTATTTGGGGCAAAATTTCATTATAAGTAAGCTATAAGCATATTGTACACTTCATAAGGTTTTGGAAAATAATGGAAAAATATCTACACTGGAAATTAAATTAATTATTATTTAGAATAGTAATAGGTTGTATAACAATAACACATGTCACTGGCAGTGGATAAAATACTTTCATCAAAGAAGCCAATATAATGAGGATAGTTATGCCATTATCTAATTGGTTCCTGTAATCATTTTTCTCATACCACTGTTGAGTTTCAGTTTTCATGTTCTGTATCCCAATACAATATAATGTAATTATATAAATAATGAAGAGATTCAATTTTCTTGTCGATCAAACATTCCAACTCCCTATATCAACAGTGACATGTATAATGAATATGTTTCCTTCTATTTATTATGCAAATAAACCATCATCAGAAATTTGCGGAAATAGGTGATATCTATCCTTAAAAATCATTAAAATACATGGATTTAACTGAGTTGAGTTGATCCCCTTGGTGTCAAGTTAGTTAGTATAACCTGGATATCTGTAATCCCCCAAAATTGCTGGTTGCTGGTATGCATGCATCAGTTTGATTTTGTGCATGTTGTGCTAAAATACTGCACAATTTTAAAAACGCACCATTTCTTCAGGACCAGATAAATCTTTTTTTTTATTTATTAGATTAATGTACCACCGGTAGTATGATCAGCTGTTGTATTTACTGCACCATCCTGAACTCATAAAAATTACAAACTGTCAGAGAAAGAATTGGCAGAAGTTGTGTTATGTGATTGATGACTTCTTGTCAGTTTCAAACTGGTGGGTCATATGTGTATAATAATTATGTGGCAATACTTGAACAAGTTATATACTGCATTATATTAAAAATAATATTTACAATTATCAAGAAACTGTTTGTTCTCATTTTCCAGGTAATTATGATCTCATGCATTCATAGTCATGTGATCTATGGGTTGCCTTGGTAACCTAAAATGCCAATATTTTAAGAGACTGTGATGCAAAAATTATACGACAAATACTAGTATTGCGTTTGTGCAGATTGTATGCATTTGTGTACAGGTATGATTTTGTGGCAATTATTTATTGAGTATAATTACATATAAATTTACTACATTGTTTAGGCTTGTGTATTGTCACGGTGAATATTTCAGTTTGGCACTGTGATTAGCCTATTTATCTATATATACACATCTGATTTAACAGTTGAACTCTTGAATTATTTGTCGTCGTCGATGAGCACAGGGCGCCACTTGGTAAAAAATATCCCTGCAAATTTAGAAACAAACAATAGTCTAAGATGAATTAAAGAGTGTGTCCCATAATTCCATGGTGCAATCCCAGGATCTTGTAAAGTAACTTTGGACAATTACCGTAACATTAAGTACAATATAGTGTTATGCAATCATTATATACTGTAGAATACTTTATTTTCGCTTGGAATTTATTTTCGCTATTTTCGCTGGAGGGATGATTCCGTGAAAATAAAATCCAGCGAATATACTTTTTTTCCTATATTTCACATTAAACTCATCAAAAATCAGTGAAAATAAATTCCATACAAAACGCCCAAAAAGCCTTTTCAGCGAAAATTAATTCCAGCGAAAATAAAGTATTCCACAGTATGTAAATGAACACATTATTTAATTCAAAATGCTGAGTCTGTTGGAATTACCAGGGTATCAAGCTGCACATAGTTTTGTTTATTTTTCAGAACCGTTATTGTCAGTTTCTTCCCTATTTCACCTATGAAACTGATGTCTAAATATTAGAAAAAGTGACTGAATGCATACATTGAAGTCTTATTATGTAAAAAAAAGTTTGATAACTTTCTTCAAAATACCATACATACATTTTCAACAGACTCAGCAATAATTTTTCATACTGCCATTTTGGAATTTATATTTTAAATTTGGTTTTCTCATATGAAAGTTTGTTAGTGTTAAATAAAATGAAGATAGTTCAATATTATGTAATGTAAAGTTTTTGATATGCAAATTAGGCATGACATTTATGCAAATCCACAGGGCAATAAAAGTAAAGAAATAACAAAAACATAAAATCAGCTGTGGCAGTCAAAAGACATGGAAAGGTCATTATTGTAAATTTAAAATACATTGATATTACAGAGAAAAAAGTCGTACTTGATTTCATTATTCAGGTATTTATTTATATATAGCTTCTACAGCTTAAATCAGGCAGGTGAGAGCAAAAAATAATGACCACAGGTTTATGAAAAAACAGGAAACCTTGTGACCTTGATATGAGAAGGGAATACAGGTAGGTCAATGAACTCGCTCAATACCTGATCCGAGTGTTGTCATGGTTACCCATCACTGATTTTGCAAATATTTTCTAATCAATTCCATATAAATATCAAGAAATTATTATAATATATTTAAAATAATTAAAATGTTAGTTTTGTGTTTTTGTCATTTGGCTATTCTGTGAAATGGTTTTAAATGTTTGATTATTAAAAATGACGACTTTACTTGATCCAACTGCTGAACGTGAACTCAAAATCAAAATTTGCTACACGACCTGATATGAACTGCGGCTCAGCACGAACAGTTGAATTAGTGTAACATTCCGAGGTACACAAACGGGACCGATGAAGGTGTTCACAACGATGATGCAAAACTCATTCGATGAAATTTAAAATTGAGGAATACATTATATTTATGATTTGAAATACAATATTTCAATGCATTGATGGATCTTATGTAGCGGTCCGTGACAGAACCTATGGAACTACGTTCAGGAAGTAAAAAATAGGGAAAATTTTCTCCTTCTTGACAACTGAATCGTGATTGGCTGACGTGTTTTGTTAAAAATTAATTATCATGTGTTTATATGTATTTATGACTTAGTGCATGGCGAAAAATTAACCAACCTTGTCTTCAGTAATACAATTTTAACTATTTTACAAACAAATTGCGTGTTTGTTAAATGAAAAAATAGCCTGTAAACAAAGACGTGTGTGTGACCTTCGACCAATCAACAACTGCGTTATAAAACGTACTCCAACTATGCAAATTATTTCCGGCTTTTTCACTCGCGGTGTAATACGACAGCTACCAAGTTTCCAGGAGCAAAAATGGCATCGAGTCCTGAGAGTGGCAAAAAGAGTTTGGATTTACTTCTTGAAGCTGGTATGTCGTATTCTATGTGCTATTTACGATCGTGTTCTTATTTTCTGAACTATTATTAGCGCTCACGCGAAATTTGTAGCCATTTGGTCCTGAGGATTTTGATTAATTCGCGCCGAAATAGGAAACCAGGAAGTGTTTTGATGGCGCGGTATGTGTTGTCCATGTGCTTCGCTTCCTGATTGCGGAGCGACTAATTTCGTCGAAATACCTTTCTCATGTTGTGTGGAAACATCACAGTCATATAAACGACATTCCGAGCATTTTGTAGACGTATGGTTTGTGTATATTTGTCGTCGATTCACTCCTTTAAAAACAGCTAAAATACGAACCAGGAAGTACGTCTTCCTGTTTTTATCGTCAACCGCGTTGCTCGCCGATGTTGTTTTCACTGACTTCGCGCTCTGTCAACACTAGATTTGCCGGATCAGAGTTTAAGATTTTCGTTCTCGTGGGACAAAAATAATGAGTGATAGTTATAATAACTGTATCCCATACTATTTATATGGGAAAACTGTATGATGTAACGTTATTTTTAGCAGAAATGCTCGGATGCCGATAGTTGTACGGCTGTCAGTGCCCTATCACGCACGTACATTGGACGGCGTGAAATACCGGAAGGGAATTTAGCAACGAATTTTCCCAAAGAATCAAGAGAGGATACTCGATTTTGGTGCATTAATTTGGGCCACTACTAGCCGAAGGAGAAATCTGTAATACATCTCGAAAGTTCTGAATCAAAATCACGGCGCTAAATCATCTATTTTTGTTGATTTTTTTCTTTGCACATTTGACGATACGGTTTACCGTGCGAGAGTTTAAAGTCTCAATAAAAAGCAAAATCATGAATAAATTATTTATCAGTAATGCAGATTTTGAATTTAAACTAACTACATGTTTTTAAAACTCCCAAATTAAATTTATGTTTTGTGAATTTAGGGTGAATTTTAAAATCATGTTTTGACAAGACTTCATGGCCACTTGCTAGTTTTTGGTAAACTTGTATCTGTTTATTCTGTTAATTGGAGAACAATTACTCTAGTGATTAACATTATGATGGTGTGAAATAGATTGAATAAATTATAGTGCACCAGATACAAGTTGTAGTATTTTGTAAAGTGAAACTGGGGCGATTAGTATTAGTAGAGTGTTATTTGCAAAGGTCAAACAACTAACTTCTTGTTTTACCAATCAACATTGTTACCATGCAATGGCAATGTGTCACACATTTAAAAATATATGATCAAATATTTTTTTTTTATAACAAATCTTGTACTTTTATTTTTTAATCTTAAAACAAAAAGTTGCCTTTTACTTTTGTACTGTAAACTTTGGTGGTGCTTTATACCAGTCTGTAACTTTCACGAATCGGTGTTAAGCTTGTTGCCAAGGTTATTTTTGTGGGGCTTTTCATCCTAGGTTACGAAGATAATTGTGTAAGAGAGGTAGTTTAAATATTGTTTTTGATCTAAACTCATTGCTAGTGATACTAAAGTGTTTACAGGGCAATCTATACCATATATAGCTGTGCATTCCTCTGTTTAACCAATGGTAAAAGATGGAATATTCCATGATTAATGTGGGGTGGGTCAGGTTCAGTTAATTTTTACTTTCATAGAAGCCCTCCAACTGAGTTGTATATTTTTAGCTGAGTTTCATAATCAGGAGATCTGTGTTTAGGGTGACATTTTCTTGACCTTTTAATGCGTTGCGTGGAATTTGTCTTGAATTTTTTTTTTCTGAGCTTGATTTCCTGCGAGTAAACTGATTAAAATATGTCCATGGTGTGATTAGATTTTCGCTGACTTTTCTGTAAGCCAAGTTGTACCAGTTCAATAATTCATGGTGTTCCAGGCGAGACATTCTAGTCAGAGTAATTGTGTTACTTTCTTTTTGCTGTTTTCAAAACTGACAGTTATTTTGGAAAATATTTTTGGAAATTTATATTACACATATCTGTAAACAATGTCACTTACAGATGTAACATTTCAGAACTTATCTCTGTCATTCTTTCATAGCCAACAAATTATCGGTCAGTGGTAAATAATTCAATTCCTGCCTGAATAGGTTGAACACCGAAAAGGTATTTACCCTATGTAGTAACCACAACAGTCCAACGGTTGACAAAAATTGCATGTTTAATTGTTATTATAACAGGAAAGTGTTTCTACAGCGCTAAATTTTTTTTTCATACTGTGTGAATAGTTTCTTGCAATTGAGATGTGTTTACAAAATCATCAAGTTCGTAAGTGATTGATCGCTAAAACAATTCCATGAAACTGCCATTTTTATTTACTTTACCGTATTGAAAAAAAAATCACCATGACATGACTTAAGCCAACCAGATCCCTTATTTCATGTACATTTTAGTCCCAAACAGTGAGTGTTGTAAAATGCGCTGTCTGTGTGGATTGTGGGCTTTGTACATATAAAGTCACAGGAGAGACAGTTTTACAATAAATTTTTGCTTCATTAATGAGCTGAAAATGTTTATTCAGGAATCAAATTATAGTTTGCTAGTGTGTCATTCACTTATTGTTTTGTTTGCGATGGCTGGAATCCCAAGATAGAAGATTTGTCAGAATTTAGCACATGGATGTTACTTCATAATCCTTTAGTTTGATGGGCAGTAGAGTTGAGTGTTGTATGGTATATTGAAACCTGTACAAAAGACATAAAGACATTAATGACCTTTAAAAAGTAAAGGTGTGTTTTCAACAAGGCTATTCATTCATCTCGAAGTTACAACCAACTAACAATAAAATCCCATTTCAATGTTTACTGCAGAAATGTACACTCCCCTCTATTAATTATTGGCCTGACCTACACAAGGAAATTATGAACTTGCATCTTAGTTTTGGTGAGGTAACAGGAAATGTTGGCAGACTGATGAAGTGATCTTAAACATATGCGCTATATCCAAGATACCAGAAGTGTTGCTAAAACCTAAACCCGCATTATGAATGTTATTTTATTTTGGTATATCACTGCATCTGGATATTCAGCTTTTTGTAGGAAATAGTGTAATGCATGGTTTGTGTATTGTAATAGGTTATCAGTAGGTCAAGTGTCAGTGTAATCAGTGTGATAAATTATTTCTGCTTCCCATTCATGTATATCTACTGATGGATGTTCTTTTGTTTAACCCTTAATCAAAATCGATGTTGTTCCAAAAATAAAGAACTCACTTACTTCACTTGATTTACATGTGTAAATATTTTGTGGAAATATAACACAAAAAAGCACATCCGGGGAGAGAGTGCCCTATTTCCAAATACTAACACTGATAGTAAGATATTGCATATTTATTTCTGATTCTCTTTTTTTTTTAGCTTCCGCCTGTGACAGCAAAGAGCAAAAATATATCCGAGAACAACAAGAAATCAATGAAAATGAGAACAACAATGAGAAGGGAACAATATTAGCAGCACAGGCTTTGTTAGATATCTCACCTACGACCAATGGCGAAGACAAATTATTTCCGCACCACCAAGGTATGTCTAGGATAAGTTGTTGAGCTAAAGCAGACATGCTTAGCAACAACATTGCCTCATGTTATGCTTTCTTATATCAGTGAAAATAAATTCCATACAAAACTTCCAACAAGCCTGAATTCCAGCTAAAATAAAGTCTTTTACAGTACTCAGTAATGTTGTTATTTTATAGATGCTGGCGGTACTGTATTCGCTTTATACGTATATGTAAAGTATATACGCTATGCGGAGGTGTGTTTATTGGCAAACTAAGTCATGTCTTGATGGTCTACTTTTCAATGAGTTCACTGTTCTAATAGAATAAATATGATACAGTGATGAGCTTACCTCCCTGTCGTGTTGTCAATTGGATTATCAGTGGTATATTTCTCAATAAAGTAAATTAATAATAATTGTTTGCAGGTTCAGCGACGTCAAGTCCGGCTGACAGTGGAGTGTCAACGGAAGGTGAACAGATGATAACTATCACAGAGATATGTGATGACAAAAGTAAATTAAAATGTAAGAATCATAATGTAATACAATTCTGTGAATTTTGATGTCATTTTACACACTTTTGATCATTAAATATCCCATTGCTGACTTCTAATTTAGCAGTACAAGATATAATACATTTTGTCCAGCCTACCTGATCAACCATATGATATGGTATTCAGTTAGAGCTATATTATCGTTATGCCATATCTGTCTCGTGTGCTTCAACTTGTCTCTTTATATAATAATGGAGAAAATTGATGGATTGTGTTGATGTTGGGGAGAGGGAGGGGGGGTTTATCTACCAAGATTTTTTGTAGTGCACACTTGTTTGAAGTATGGAGAACTGTACCTATGATATTTGATGAAATAAACTTGCTGCTAAATACTGAAATCTTCCAATAATTATGATTGCAGATGCATGTTCTTAGTGTTTTAAGGTAGCAGGATAGTTTTTTTGCATGAAAAATGTAAACACCTATAATCGGAATAAATTTTACAAGAAACCATACAATCTATATATGTTTGGAAAGCTCTTGACTTATATTTTCCTATTAATATTTTGCAAACATTGTGTTTGTTTTAGCGTCACGTGATTCTGAAAATCGGCGGGGCTGATAATTTAACTAACGTGAATAAAATTTTAATTGTCATCTCTACAGTCATTCATGCAATCAAAAACTTTACACTGTTTTGAAGCAAAGGTCATACAGTTTAAATCCGTATTTAAATTTTTTGCATTAAGTTTTTTTCAAGCACGTTTTTTGGTGTTAAAGTTAGAGTATACCGGTGGTTTGCGCGAGGTTTGTGAAAACACGCAATAGAATTTTGCGATATGAAGCCAACATATCCAAGAGTAAGAAAAGCTAAACGGCGACATCGTAGCGCTATTCACTGAAACGCCATTTAAAATTAGGTCAACGGTAATTGCCA